GACGATCAATAATAATAGACTGATCGGTTCTGTGTACATTATAGCCTTCATTTGATAAACTACATGTTAGACGGGGTCTATCCCACTTCTGAACTGAAAGGAATATCTATGAAAGTGGGTAGTAGAGAAATAATGAAACTATCAACCTTAAGAAACACATATATTGAAATCCACTCGTAGAGCATACGTAACAATATTTGCAGAGACAGCATATAATCATATACTTATTAACTATAATGTACACTTCCCGATTCAGGCAATATAAGTTCCAGTAGTAGTGAGCAAGCGGAATCAGAGAGATAGAAATGCAAACCAAAGAATGATACTGTAACAACGCGCAAATCATTAATATAACAACTCATCGACCATAAAATAAATCATATTAATAGTGGGACATACTGTATATAGAACACATCGACAGTATAGCTATATAAACAATGAGACATACTGTATATCTAACACATCGACAGTATAGCTATATAAACAATGAGACATACTGTATATAGAACATATCGACAGTATAGTAATATAAACAATGAGACATACTGTATATCGAACACATCGACAGTATAGCAATATAAACAATGAGACATACTGTATATCGAACACATCGACAGTATAGTAATATGAACAATGAGACATACTGTATATCGAACACATCGACAGTATAGCAATATAAACAATGAGACATACTGTATATCGAACACATCGACAGTATAGCAATATAAACAATGAGACATACTGTATATCGAACACATCGACAGTATAGCAATATAAACAATGAGACATACTGTATATCGAACACATCGACAGTATAGTAATATAAACAATGAGACATACTGTATATCGAACACATCGACAGTATAGCAATATAAACAATGAGACATACTGTATATCGAACACATCGACAGTATAGCAATATTAACAATGAGACATACTGTATATCGAACACATCGACAGTATAGCAATATTAACAATGAGACATACTGTATATCGAACACATCGACAGTATAGTAATATAAACAATGAGACATACTGTATATCGAACACATCGACAGTATAGCAATATAAACAATGAGACATACTGTATATCGAACACATCGACAGTATAGCAATATTAACAATGAGACATACTGTATATCGAACACATCGACAGTATAGCAATATTAACAATGAGACATACTGTATATCGAACACATCGACAGTATAGCAATATAAACAATGAGACATACTGTATATCGAACACATCGACAGTATAGTAATATAAACAATGAGACATACTCAATGAGACATACTGTATATAGAACATATCGACAGTATAGTAATATAAACAATGAGACATACTGTATATCGAACACATCGACAGTATAGCAATATAAACAATGAGACATACTGTATATCGAACACATCGACAGTATAGCAATATAAACAATGAGACATACTGTATATCGAACACATCGACAGTATAGTAATATAAACAATGAGACATACTCAATGAGACATACTGTATATCGAACACATCGACAGTATAGTAATATAAACAATGAGACATACTCAATGAGACATACTGTATATCGAACACATCGACAGTATAGTAATATAAACAATGAGACATACTCAATGAGACATACTGTATATCGAACACATCGACAGTATAGTAATATAATTAATGAAACATACTCTATCAAACACATCGACAGTATAGAAATATGAATAATGCCACAAGTTGATCGAGTCATAGAAATATCAATAGGCAAAATCCACCTACCTCAAATCCACTCGCTCTCAATGAGTGAACACAATTAATATTTTGTCAAACTGTCCTTAGGATATCCATCACCAAAACCATAGGAAAACCACTAACACAAGACTCGTTCAATCGCACTCTTTTCTCGACTCCCCATCACTTCTCCATACGCCTTTTGTCTCTCGCACCTTCTTCGTAATCACCAACATTCCGCAGCTTGATAAGAATTTACCGTTAAGCGTTATTCAGGGTGGCTCACAGCTCACATAGGCGAAAAAATTTCCTTACAAATAATATTAAAACTAGACACTAGCCCAAGATCTGGGAGAAAAAAAAAACAAAACAGACATAGAACAGTTTACAAATAATTATGTATAAAACAGAAGTACTCTAAGACGAATGATACACATTAAAATGAATCATCAAAATATTCCATGAGAGAGTAGTAGCTTTTATTTTTGAGGAATAATTTGCACTGTCTTTTGAATAGAGGATTCTTTAGAACTTTGAGTGAGTCAGGCAAATGATTATATATTTTGAGAGCTGTTATGACTGGACCTTTTCTAATCTGTGCGAGTGAAGCTGGAGGAATGAATAGTTTATTTGCATTTCTTGTTGTATAATGATTAATATCACCCAGGGTTGGCATGAATTAATTCATATGAATTAAATCAGTGATTTAATTCGTGAATTAATTCCGTTGACTTTTTTCGAAAAAGTCATGAATTAATTCAAATTTTCGAAAATGAGACCAATTGCACTATTACCTTTGATTTTTACTAGTTTAAACTGAAAAAATCGATCGTATTTTGGCAAGACTTTGTTATTTCAAGCATGACAGAGATTTTTACTAATAGATATATACAGTATCAAGTATCATCCATAAAGTCCATAACATATGAGAACAGGTTTATTATCACAGCATCGAATTTTTTTCTCTCGGCGATCCATTATGCATATCCGATAACGATAACTATAGTGATAAATAAAAATAATACTATAAGGCGACGAGAAGTGGGGTTAGATAACAAAATATCCATAAACATTTCTTATTAAGTTGCTATTCCACATTCAGTTTCGAGCAATTTTCGGAGGAGACTTGGAAATAGCTATATTTTTTCGAATATTCTTCAATTTTGTTACGATTCTCTTTTTTTCCTGACAGTAGTGATGTTGATGATGTACAAGTTGAATAGAATTCAATTTCATGCTCACATATGGAGTTTCCAGCCATTATTTGAGAAAACTGATAATAGCTCTTTGAATTTTTTTTAAATAACTCCATCTTCCCATCCAACCCCACTTTTTGCCATCGTAATTTTTTGAATTTACCGCCATACCAGTGATCAAGTGACATGTGTCAAAAATCGACTTTCAAGTAGTCAGCCATGCATAATAGATCCCAGAGAAAAAATGTTTCGATATTCTACTAATAAACTTTTTCTCCATGTGTTACGAACTTAATGGATGATACTGGATATATGTATCTATTATTTTGTATTCTATCATCACTTTTAATTTTGTTTCGAAAAACTGACATGTTATATTATGATGTTTATTCTACAAGATTTCTGAAGGGAATAAAAACATAGTTTTTTTGTTTCTTTTTTTCTATTTCGCTTTGGTAAATGCAATTTGTTTTTTTTTTCAAATGAATTAATTCAAAAAAGTCTGACTTAATTCAAAAAGTCGGACTTTGATGACTTTTTTATAAAAGTCATGACTTATTCCAACCCTGATATCACCACATGTTTTAAAATTGTTAAGATTATCGTGAGTGAAACATAGAGCGGTCAGAATGTAAATATTGTAAATGGTTGGAAATTTATACAGGGTGTAACTGAATAAGTGTAAAACATTTGAGGGGCTGATTCCTCATCGAAAAAAAGATGGGATTTTTCATATACAGCAACTTCATTGGGGCATCCCATGTTAAGATACAGCCCCTTGAAGGGGGTACATAAAATTTGTTCAAAAATTTTTTTCACAAGCACCAAAAAAGTTACAGTCTTGAAATTAACCTGACATTTTCTACTACGAAAAAGACACTTAGCCAGTAATTCATTTGGTTCACCTCATGGTTGTGAGGGGTGGAAAACGCAACCCCTAAATTTTATTTCCAATGTAACTTTTTGTCTTATGAATTGTTTACCATTTGAAAATTTATTTCCGATAGCCTGTTTCATTCTAAATAAAAAATGTCCCTTGAATTTTTTGCCCAAAATGAACCAGTTGGCAGCAAAAAAAAATGTTAAGATCAACTACAGAGATACATCGTCATAAATGCGAACTGAATTTATTGTCATTTTGTAGTTACTACCTGCGTTAAATAATTAAAGGGATTAAACCATGTGGTAAACCAAATAAATTACCGGCTAAGTGTCTTTTTGGTAGCAGAAAATGTCAGGTCAATTTGAATTCTGTAACTTTTTTAGTGCTTGTGAAAAAAATCGTTAAACAATTTTTATGTACCCCCTTCAAGGGGTTGTATCTTGACATGGGATGCTCCAATGAAGTTTCTTTATATGGAAGATTTTATCTCTTTTTCGATGAGGAATCACCCCCTTAAATGTTTTACACTTATTTAGTTACACCCTGTATATTAAAGTATGAGATGATATATTTATGTCTTCAAAACAACCAGTGTTTTAAAGACCAGTATCCACGAATACTTTGGTACAACAATTGGTACATTTATTCGAGATCATAAATAATATAGAAATAACTACTCATAATATAAGATGGTTGAACATTTGTTAGTTTTATTCAATTTGACGTTACATGCCTGTCAGATCGATGATTAAAACGTTGACCATTCAGACTTCAGGTTTCTCGAGTCGTTGATGTGCCGTGGAACTTCATAAAAAACTCGCGTTTTTGAAAGTTGGTATGAAACACGCTGAAGCGTTCTTTAGGTAAGCAAGATAGGGTACAAAAAAAAACTTCTTCCCGTTTTCGTTACGGCTGACGAATACACCTAGTTTCTTCAATTCGGTTTTCTCCTTCTGTGCCACTTCTGTGCCAGCATTCAGTTTAATATACTGATTACCCATTTAAACTTATGGAACCATTTTTATAATATTCTGAAAACTATTGCAGGCACAGAAAAATATCACAGAGAGATATCAATGAGGCGTTTATAAAATCGGTTTGGTTAGTGGTTAAACAGTGTAGGTATTGGATTATAGTGCCAAAGGTTCCAGTCTTCGATATACCTTTCTTAATACAAAAAAAGTTAGAATCATCCACTAACCTTTTACATGATCATCATGTTCTTTGAAAATTCAGTTTACACCAAACCAAAACTACACATGCAACACTAAACATTGTCCCAACAATAATACGAGCCTTTATAAACAATCACACGCATGAAACCGAACGCCTGCACGTTTCCGACTGAAATGAAACAAGAACCGTGATATTGACCACTTCTCAGCTAGCTCCCCTTCATAGAAGCAGGTGTGTTTGTATTAAATTTGTATCACTGTCGAGTCGAAGGGGACAACTTTATCCGGAGAATCGTTGTGTTCGGTCGAGATCAGAATGATCGGATCAATTTCCCTTAGTCTTGTGTAGTTCGCGAACGAACTAGTTCGAAAGAGCGCTCCCCGAGGTGAACTACGCGAACTAGTTCGTTGTCAATCTGGGTTTCAGTTCGTTAGTTCACTGAAAAATGCAAACGTTGACCGACCAGACCGACCGATCATCTCTCTGTCACTGCCGAGCGTGCGAGCGTCGAGCGAGAGGACCGAGACTTGCATCAAATGAACAAGCGATTCAGCGATTGGGATCGTGTAATGCGAACCGCTCAACTTCCCGGCCGGTCACTTTTGTCATTTCACAGCGTTCGCAGTTCGTAGTTCGTAGTAGAATCGTTCTGCGACTGCGATCCATGTAGTATCTCTACGCTGCGGTCGTTACGTGTCTGCGCGGCGATCGGCGAACGAAACGAACTAATGAACTAGAAGAGTGAACTAGTTCGCCAATGGAGAACGAACTAAATTGAGCGATCTCTGAAGTGAACTAAAATGCCCAACACTAATTTCCCTGTCTCCTGTCTCCAAATATGTCCATCCGTTCGTTCGGGGTTGATTACTCATTCGTTTTTTTGTCCGTCCCTCCGTGCGTCCCCATTCCTCCATTTTGTCGCAAACCATAGTTTCCTCATGACCTAATACGCTCATTTACTCATTCACACAATAATTCGCTTATTCACCTATTCACTCATTCACCCATTTACCCATTCAGACGTTCTCTAACTCACTCATTCACTCGTTCACTGATTCACTAATTCACTAATTCACTAATTCACTAATTCACTAATTCACTAATTCACTAATTCACTTATTCACTTATTGACTTATTCAATCATCACTCATTCACTTATTCACTAATTCACTTATTCACTAATTCACTAATTCACTAATTCACTAATTCACTGATTCACTAATTCACCAATTCACCAATTCACTAATTCACTAATTCACCAATTCACCAATTCACTAATTCACTAATTCACTTATTCACTAATTCACTCATTCACTAATTCACTTATTCACTAATTCACTCATTCACTAATTCACTTATTCACTTATTCACTAATTCACTAATTCACTAATTCACTAATTCACAAATTCACTAATTCACTAATTTACTAATTTACTAATTCACTAATTCACTAATTCACTAATTCACTAATTCACTAATTCACTAATTCACTAATTCACTAATTCACTAATTCACTAATTCACTAATTCACTAATTCACTAATTCACTAATTCACTAATTCACTAATTCACTAATTCACTAATTCACTAATTCACTAATTCACTAATTCACTAATTCACTAATTCACTAATTCACTAATTCACTAATTCACTAATTCAGTAATTCACTAATTCACTAATTCACTAATTCACTAATTCACTAATTCACTAATTCACTAATTCACTAATTCACCAATTTTCCAATTTACTAATTCACTAATTCACTAATTCACTAATTCACTAATTCACTAATTCACTAATTCACTAATTCACTAATTCACTAATTCACTAATTCACTAATTCACTAATTCACTAATTCACTAATTCACTAATTCACTAATTCACTAATCCACTAATTCACTAATTCACTAATTCACTAATTCACTAATTCACTAATTCACTAATTCACTAATTCACTAATTCACTAATTCACTAATTCACTAATTCACTAATTTACTGATTCACTAATTCACTGATTCACTAATTCACTAATTCACTAATTCACTAAATTAACTATAATTCACCCATTCACTAATTAACTAATTTACTTAAACATTCATTCACTAATTCACATAGTACTAAACAATAGTAGTAGACCCTATCATTGTGTATAATATTCTGGTTACAGCTTTCGACACTGTGAGATATGAATAACTGTTGATGGTTCTTGATGTCAGGAAAACATGGGGTATGAAGTTTTAAAAAAAATTTTTTCGATCGCAAACGAATGGTGAAAATTAACGATATCAGGAGCGACACAACCAACGTAGATTATGGAGTACCCCAAGGTACCGTCATTGGACCTCGTATTGGACCATTGCTATTCAATATATTCGTGAATGTCTTGTTCACATTCGAGATTGAAGGGAATTGGCTGAATTAGCTCCTCGTTCATTTTTATTCTATCTCTTGGAGCACACGACAGGAAATTCCTATGATGTTCGAAGAATATCGTGCGTATCTAGGAAGGATGGGGAGAGGATGATTGATGACTAAATTATCAATACATCATCAAATAAACCGGTATGAAGATTATAATAATTTGAATAATTTTTGGAAACATCCATGATTGCCTCATCACCAAATAAGTTGTAGATGACGCTAACAATATAACTATGCGTTGTAAGTTTATATGTTTTTCACTACTCCATAGTTATGGAACCTACCATTATATACTCTTTTACAAGGCGTGAAGTGTGTTTTCTGTACCAACGTAACTTTCGTCATTTTATAAACTACTAGTTCATAAAGACATAGCCACCTCTGTTATAATTAACCAGAATTCACTGTTCTGATGCGAGATTGGCAGGAATGGCACTTGAATCTATTAAGTATTGTTCAATTACGACTGGTCATATGCTTTCATAGTCATGCCTTCTAGATTTTAATTAGAATTGAAAATAAGTGCTTTCACAAGATGTATATATTACGACGCGTCTGAACTGCCATCCTTGCAAAACTTTTTTTTTCCACGAATATTTGCCTAATTTACAGTTGCAACTGTAAATTAGGCCAAATTTACAGTTGCAATTGTAAATTAGGCAGAAGAAACTTCTTTTTTCTAAATATCGCCTAATTTACAGTGCTAATTTACAGTTGCAACTGTAATTTAGTGCTAATTTACAGTTGCAACTGTAAATTAGGGAGAGAATACTTTTTTTTTCGAAAAACCACCTAATTTACGGTTGCAACTGTAAATTAGGAGACATTTTGGAAAAGAAGTTTCTTCTGCCTAATTTACAGTTGCAACTGTAAATTAGAGCAAGAGGACTTTTTTTTTCTACACATCTCCTAATTTACAGTTGCAACTGTAAATTCGAGTCTCACAGTCTCAGTGCTCACAATTTCTCACCAGACTAACAGACATAGGCAGCGCTGCTTTCATTCTTCGATAGCACGCGATGGTGATGCGCTTTTAGAACAAGAAGTAACACTTTAGTGCAGCTCTAACAGTCAGAAATGAGTAGAATTTTCCTAAAAGCGCATCGTCATCGCGTGCTATCGAAGAATGAAAGCTGCGCTGGGCGAATATGGACGCATCCTGAATGAATTGTTTTTCCGAGAACAAGTTGATTTTCATTCAATTCTCCTCCCAACTGAGATTCGGAGGGTGTTCCAGATTTGGGTCACTTTCAAGAAAACTCTAGATCTCTGATAGCCATCTTGAGTCAATTCTGATATTCAGATCTCTTCATCTGAAGGTTTATCTTCAAAATGAGCCTAAGATTTCTAAAATCGGTTGACGTGGAAAAAAGTTATGGATGCAAAACCAAAAAGTTGATTTTTTGAGATCACTCTGTAAATAAGAGAGATAGGAAGTTGATTCGCGAAACATCTCGAGGTAATGCGAGATCATCTTCATGCCTCTGTTGTCGAAGTTGAGAAAAATTTTTTTTTTACTATTTGAGAGCCATTTGAATATTCCGAAATTTTGCACAGGGTCGGAAAACACCATGTAGAAATTTTATGTGAATACCCTCATGTTTCAATGAAGTACGAGATTATAGCTGAAGGACTGGGCTATCGAACAGTGTGAACCAAATTCAAATGGTTCTGAACTGAAAAAAGTTATTCACATTATAACAGGGGCGACATTTTGATGTGCGACGAAATTAGTGTTGAGTAGTTTATATCGATTTATTAATATTTTTTATGATATCGTTATTCGATATATCGGATAACGATATTAAAAAAAAATCGACACGTATCGATATATCTATAAATATCGATACCAAAGCAACATATCGCTATCAAGTTTTCAATATCGCATACACAGAAGCTAATAGTTCTGGAGCATAAGTAGACATTGAGGTAGTACCTACCGGGTGTTTTCCTCAAAAATGTGTTTCATTCAAGATAAAAATCCAGTATATTTCATCCCAGAGTGCTCATACGGAAAAAATGCATCGGGTATTTTGTATTCAGAATAGAAAAAGGAAGAAAATAGTTCTTCAGCAATTTTCTGATATCTAAGTCGGTTTCGTAGTTAGGCTACCAAACTTTTAGACAATAATTTTCAACGCATATCTGCGCAACAATGTGATGAGATTATTCGTTATAGATACCAGAAAGTTGTTCCCACCTATCAGAGCTCATCAGTAGTAAGAGTTAGATTCTCAATATTGTACGGTTCATGGGTTTGCAGAGGAAGAGATTTTCAACGGGCACATATTTTGGAGGTAGGTATCAAAAAAACAGCTTGAAAATTATTTCTTTGATTTCTGAACGTTGGCACTCAGCATCAATTCAACCAAAACCATCCCAGCTTTCACGAAGAAGAGATAAACTAATCTCAAAACGATCAGAATGGGTAGAATAGATATAGAATGGAAATTGGAAATGAGAGATAAAATGCTTGGGGATGGGGATCATCCTGGACCAAGAACTCCTTTGGAATAAACTCGAGAAGGAGATAATTAACAAAGCCACAAAAGCTTTGTTGATGAGCTGAAACATTGCAGGAGAAAGCCTAGGACACGGTAATTGTGCTTTCACAAAAACTGACGAAAGTTCAGAGACTAGCATGTGTATGCATTACTGGTGCA